CCGGCCGCGGCCGCTTCTCCCGGCCCGATGGCGGCAGCCTCAGGTGCGGGGAGTCTCTGCATTTTCCCCGCGGCTCCTGCCCAGCGCCCTTTATTTCGCGGGAGCTGTGAAGGGGCCGGTTTTTACCGGGGCGAGGCATCCGGTGGGCGACGCCTCTTATTGCGGGGACACCTGCTGCCTTGCCTGGGACCTGCCGGGTCGCTGGGGGACAGGGGCAGGGGCAAGCGGAGCAGGCGGTGCTGCAGGGAGGGAGCCTGTGTGCGCTCCTGCGCTTGCTGCTCCCTGCTTTGTGTGGCACCCTTTCTAGTTGGCTTCCAGCATTGAACCAGGGACCAGTGCGCACCCGAAAAACTAACAGGTACAAAAGAGGAACGTTAAGGAAGCCTAAGGGGTAGTATTCACATGCAAGTGGCACCAGGCTGGAAAGCAGGCATCGCTATCCCTTTGATTTTTTAAGTGACTCTTAACTGCAATCCTCTGTGCCCAAGAATGTTTCTATGGGTTAAATGTGCCCAGGTCTCATACCACCACCTTGAAATCATGTTTTCCCAGCCAAAGGCAGCTTATATCGAAAACTTCCAGTAGTGGCAGATAACATAACTGAAGGACATTACAAGGAGTTTTCTTTTTTTTTTTTCTTTTCTTGTGTTTCCTTTGTGTATCTGGCAGCACTTTGCATGTGGTACTGCTTCACTGTTTCCTCCATATGCTTGGGCAGTTTCCTTGGATATTTTTTTTCATTGTAGATGTGAAGTAGTTATGAATAGTTTTAAAATGATAAATTGCTAGAAACGATGGAAGATGTGCATTTTGCACAAGCATCGCTGTATACGTTTTCAGAAATCTGTATACGTGGGCACTTTAGGGCTCTCAGAGAGGTGGTTCTGTACACACCCTTCTTTCGGTCAACACAGGCACAAGATAAACGGGAGCACTTAACCACAGAGAAGCAGAGAGAGATTTTTCTTCCTAAAACATGCCAGTCTATAATCTGAGGTTTGTTATATTTCATTCTTTGCTGTGTTTGCAGCAGAGATCTTGCCTCAACTTTTTCAACTGCAACAGCAAAAGCATTCCAGTGAAAGCACTGCATGTGATCACTCTCATGTGTTCCACCATAACTGCTGCTGCAGTCTTATTGCCACTGATCTACCACCTTCTTCCAAAGTCCAGAGAAATGTTTTCTGGGTATTTTTTTGAGCTTCAAGTGTTAATTTTATAATTGAGCCAAGGCTTTTACCAAATCTTCAATGATTGCATTGTCTGAAATTAGCAGCTCAGTTGCTCTGCTTCCTGACTTCCTTCAGTCAATGCCTTTTTCAATGTATCCATATGTAAACAGGTGGAAGTTGAACTATTGTACCCAACCACATATAAGGAGACTGGTTTAATCTAATTTCTAACACAATGTTTGCACAGAGTAACCAATTTGAGAACAAACATTTGATATTTTTTCTGAAGCATGTCTGCTGTTAATCTACTCACACTGCACAGGTTAGACTCAGAATCATTGAAAGAAGGACTGGAAGGGACTTGTAAGTCATCAAGTCCATTCCCCTGCCATGGGCGTGAAGAAATTGGGCTCAAATTAGCTCAATGAGGTGCTTGTCCAGCCTCTTGGTACAGTTGCCATCCCTGGTGGTGTTCATCTCTTTTGGGATTGTGTTCTAGATTCTTGTTACCCGTACAGACAGACAGTTTTTCCGTATGTCTAGCCTAAACTAGCTTGTGCCCATTGGTCCTTGTCCTCCCAGGGGGTGCTTTTCTGAAAAATTGCTCTCCCACATCCTGCTGGTCTCCCTTGACATATTTATAGGTGGTTATCAAGTCACCCCTCAGCCTTCTTTTACCCAGACAGAACAAACCCAGATCCTGAAGTTTCTCCTCGTAAGGCTTATCCCCCAGGCCCTTGATCATGCGGGTGGCCCTTCCCTGCACCCTTTTGAGCTTGTCCACATTCTTCTTGAAGTTCACTTTACATGGCTTGCAAGGATAGGAGTGTTCCATTGATCATTTATTTTAAAAAGGCTAATTTTATTATATGCTTGAAGGAGACAGTGGAAATAAGTGGTTTCTGCATCTCTTGTGACGCAACTTATCCATTTACTTCTATAAACCTAACATTACAGTTTATAACTGGAGTTTCAGTTCAGAAAGTGCTCTAAAGCCAAAATTATGCTATGTACATATATATGTTTTTTACATTTATAACTGTTTTCAAACTGACTGATTCATATAATCAGTAGCACATACCCTTTAAATTCAAACTCAGGTTATTGTTGCTGTCCATGGTTCAATCTCTTAACGTGCCAAAGGTTGTTTGTGTGTGTGCTGATCTAAAGCTGTGGTTTATTTAAAATTGTATGCATACTCTTGCATTTAATCTCATGTATTTTTTATTTCATAGAGTGAAATTGTGTGTTCTTGAAGATGGTAGTTCCTGGCAGTGCACCTGTCATACAGCAAGATCATGCTCTGGAACCTGACCTGGGGCAGGATTCAACAGAGAATTCTGCTATGGGTCCTGACACAGAACCAGGTGCTGATCAGGTGGGTCCAGAGCTGGAGGAGGTGCGAAAGCTGCAGGAACTAGTGAGGAGACTGGAGATCCAAAATCAGCAGTTAAGAACTAGAAGCCGTAGAAGTGTGCTCGGCACAAATGCTCAGAGCCAGATTGACAGTGGCGTGGAGAACCATGATCCAGGTCTAAATGGAATGGAAATTAATAATAGTATCAACGCTATCACTGAAAAGCACGAATTACAAATAATGGCAGATCTACACAGCAAGCTAAACAAAATAAGAACAGAGGAGGAAGAGAGTGATTGTTTAAAGAAAAACATGATTTCTGAAATGCAGTACTGCAACAATACTGCTACTGAAAAAGTGTCTCCTAATTCAGAACACACAGATAATACAGAAATACTGTATAATGATGTAAGAGTTAGCTGTCCTTCAAGCATGGATAAGAGTAGCAGTATGGAGCTTGGGGAAGACCTGATCACAACAAGTATTGATTCGTCAGTTAAACCAAGTGAAGAGAGTCCCAATAAGAAGAGTGACGATCTAGGAGACCTCTTGAATGATACTGCTCTGGATGAAGTGGAAGTGCTAGAACTAGGGAATTGCAATGATGAAGAGGATTGCTGGTATGTATCTCAAAGCACCAGATGCTATAAAGGTTTGGTGCTCCTGTGTTAAAAACTAGTAAAAGGAATTAGGTGGTTTCTGTATGCACTCTCTTCTGGGTCAAGAATCCAGTTGCCACTGGCTGTTTCTGTTTACCAGATCCTGTGCTAGGATGAAATGAGTGTAATTAAGTCTCATTATTCTTGATCTGTTAGACTAAACTGTAAGGCTTTTATTCTTGTTTTAGTTCTTGGTATCATGACAGAAAGCATAGAAATGTATATAGTAAACTTGACAGAAATATGGCCTTCACATAAGAAAGGGAGAAACATTTCATTTTTTTTTCTAATTGTATTCGTAATTCAAATATGTAAGCATTCTATAAAAAGAAGTAATGTTCCAAGATCTTAGTTTTAGGTGTGTATGTTTGTTCCTCATTTGTTATCCAAGGCATTCACACCCAGATATATTTTTCCCCTAATAAAACTTCTCCTTTCTTTGGAGAGAAAATATAAACCAATTACATGTAATCCCTAGCTGACATTACTTTGGACTCTCAAGTTAGCAGCCCAGCCTCACTTACAGTAATTTTTCAAAATAAAAATTGGCTTGCCAATTTCACTTGCACTCTCTTAACAAAAAGACATTCCGAAGTAACTCCAATTTTTTTGCAGTAGCTTTGCCTTTATAAGTAAGCTATTCAGCTTAGTACTTCAAGATTTCAGCACTGTATTCAGAGTACTGGGTAAAAATGAATGTAGTTTTATTACTGTTGTGTAACTGCAGACAGGCAAGACATCAATTCTGTAGTGAAGATGCAGTTGCCAAAATAGTGCAAGATTAGTCTTAGATAATTAATGAATTCTAGACTGAATTGTATTTCTAAAGGTAACTTAACAAATTTATAGAAACCTTTTTATTTAGCATGTTACTAGAGAGATCAGTGCCTTAATGACATCAGTTTATAGTCCAAATCTGAGGTCATCTTAGAAAATTGAAGGGGTAATAATTACCTTCCAAATGACCTAACAAGAGGGATCAGTCACCACCAGTTTGAGGAGTAAAGGGGATTTGATCCAGTTACACTTCTGTTTATTCCATTTTTAATATTGATCATGCTGTCACTTACTAGCATAATGCTTCAGTGTCTTGACTGCAGGCAGATATTGCAAGATAACATCTCTTATTTCCACTGGTGGTCTCCCTCTGAAATATTTTTTCTATTAATAGGTTTAAGTTTCTCACTGTGTTATCAGTATTACTTGGCCAAATGCCATTTAAGTAGTGTATTTACTCAAATAATAGATGATCCTGATTAGAAGATAGCCCCTGATTAATTAGGTTCTTTATATGGAAAATTTATACATTTGTTACAATTTTCCAGGTGTAGAATCTAATTATTGGTGGTTTGCCTTAAATTTGTCCTCCTCCCACTGCTACAGCAGGGGGAAAAAATCTGGGGGGTTAGGTAGCCCTTTGCTTTCTGCTGCCACTCAACCTTTTTCTCTGGCAGCTCCTTCCCCCTCTCCTTACTGTTAGACTCTGCTCCCTTTGGGCATATCCCCAAATGCAGGGGCATTCATTTCCTGTGGTGCAAATAAAATTGCTGTGGCGCAAATAGCATTGGCACAAATTTGTGCAGCTGCTTTTTTGCCATTGCATACGCTCCTGCACATGGGGTATGCTGCTGGGTAAAATGCCCTGCTCTGGGTAAACAGCCATTTCTTCACTTCTCTTGGCTCCTAGTGTGCCGGAGAAGTTGGGAGTCATCTAAAGCAGTGGAGATGCTCAGGGTGGCAGCCAGAGCATCTCCCTGGAGCATTCAGCCTCCAGTTGCTCTGGCACACGCTCTTGGAGGATGCGCCGCACCACTATTTTTGGAGCTTTTTTTTCTTGATACCAGGAGTTCCTGGTATCAAATTTTGGTGCTGCACTTTATCTAGAATTGGAGCATGTTACCTTTTTTTAGAAACTGCTGAGAATTTTAACACAGATACTCTATAAATACACTTTTGAGCGGCACTTTGGCACCTGCTTATATACTGCAAACTCTTTTTTTTTTGTGCGCACACTCTCACTCCTGTAACTTTACAGTTCCATATGCATGATAGTAGTCCAAAGCCAAAGGCTCATGATGTACCACAGGGGCTGTCAACCGGGGGTATGTGTACCCCTGGGGGTACTTGGGAAGACTCCAGGGAGTACACTTTGTGTTTGGCTGCTGGGGGACCCCCTGCTCACTGACTGGCCCCCAGGGGACCTTCCCCACCCCCCCCTCCACATCTGGAAGGGGGTACCCACCAGGAGGGGTATACTCCTCAAAAAAGGTTGAAAACCCCTGATGTATCACATCATTCATTAGGCTGGGCCCCTCCAGAGTCAACAGCATTTCAAGCCACAGTGACCCCACAGCTTAGTACTGCTCAATATATGTGTGTTCTCCACAAAGGAGCCATGTGTTAATTCACCCCCACTCCTGACTGGAACTGGGTATTTTTGTCACAAGTCCTAGAATGCTCCAAAAATGTATGGGTAGATGAGGCACATGGCAACCTAGTCTGGCTCCATCTCATGTAGGGTGGGGCCACACTAATCATGCACCAAGCTGAGAGAGGGGCTAACAGAGCGAGTCTGGGTATGTAGTATTATGGCTCATGTAGCAGTGCCCATTATGTGCGGTCCCTGTCATCGATGGGGGTGAGGGAGATTGTGCGTAATGGGCACTACTACGTCTTATTCAGATGGGTTGCATTTACCTATTCTTGTGGTAGGTTCCCATCATGTTTGTCCAGTGTGGCCCATGTGTTTATAGTCATGCTCAGTGTTGGCTGCATTTAATCAACTTAAGAAAACCATAGAAAATTAGGGTTGGAAGGGACCTCAGGAGGTCATCTAGTTCAATCCTCTGCTCAAGGCAGGACCACCCCCAACTACATCATCCCAGCCAAAGCTTTGTCTAGCCAGGTCTTAAAACCTCCAATGATGGAGATTCCACCACCTCTGTGGGTAACCTGTTCCACTGTTTTACTACCTTCCTAGTGAGAAAGTTATTTCTGATATCTAACCTAAACCTCCCTTGCTGAAACTTGAGACACTTGCTCCTTGTTCTGTCATCTGTCACCACTGAGAACAGTCTAGCTCCATCCTCTTTGGATCCTTCCTTCAGATGTGGACTTTAAAGTAATTTAGTCACTTTTATAACACAAAAAAAAAATCTCTGCGCACTGTAACTTCACTGTACATCACAAAGCCAATTTAATTGGAATTCCATTAGTTTAAAGAAAATGAGTGTCTGCTAATAAAAGTAAAATCTTAAGACAGATCTTGATTAGACTATTTGGCTTCTTACCTTGAGTTCTAATTTAAAACTTTAATTTAAATATAAGGTATCCAAGCACTTCTCACTAACATTTATAAACTGAGATTTACTGAAGAAATTAGTTGTTTACTCATTTTACTTCAGAAAACTCTAGGATCACTGTATCAGCCATTCAAAATGTTCCACTGAGATGTACAAATTAATATACTCTTGCTTTCTCCTCAGCTGTAGCTCAAAGATGGCTAGACTTATTAATTTACTAATTTAAGTCTTTACAGAAAAATAATCCTAAGTATAACAAGAGAGAGTCATTTACTTGGTAGCATTGTTAAAGAAAAGGTAAAGGAACAGCTACACTTTATATAAAATGCTGCTAAGCTACAGTAAAATAACTGTTTGTAGTAACACCTACACCGTTTTCCTTTTTGTTTTGTTTGCTTGACTTGGTCAAGTTCAAAACATTCACACATTTTAAAATTTATGTCCTCGGCATGTGTATACAGTAAAAAGACTTAGTGCCAAGATCAGTAAAACTTTTAAATATTTTATTAAACATTTCTTAATTTCAAGCAAAAACCAAATTACATATGCCTTTGAAGCTTGCATACTTTGCTTTCTAATGAGTGTCCCTGACCTGAGGGGAGAAAGAAATGATGCAGTGCATAAGTACTTTAGTATTTTCTGCATCATAAATATGTAGTCCCATTGCCATAGGATCTACCTTATAAACACTAATGAGTTTTTTCCTTTCAATGCTGTTGTGAAGTAAGGAAGCATTAAACAGGGGAACTACTGCCCAGTAGTGAGATGATGGGAAAGTGCTGTTTGTGGATTTCTTAACAGATCTATCTTTGTCTGCAGAGTCAACGGGAATGTTTATAATGCCCTCTTTCCCAATGAAGTAATGGGGCTTTGTTTACTCTGTATTTGTTTATTTCTAATTACTTTCAGGTTATCTCACTAACTAGTTCATCTACTGACATGTGTAACCTCCAAGTCCACATCTGCTCAGGACTGTGCTTCAGGAGGCTGTTTCTTAATCCAATGTTATACCTAATCTTTCTGGAAAGGCTTCTTGTTATCAAATCCACACTTAGGATCTTGCAAATTTAGAAAATATGTGAACTTAGTGTAGTTTTAGTAATTTTAGAGAACTTTCAGTGCACTCTGTTACATAAGCTTAGTTCCTCTACATTTATAAATTGCAATAAAAATTTACTAAAGTTACTTTACCCTAGGGAAAAAAACAACATTTTTATATAAATGAGTATCATCATATCAGTTCAGTTGAATGTTTTGGCATTGTGTTTGTGCCACTGTTGTGGTTTGGCTTTTTCTAACCTTATATGCTCCTACAAATTTCTCTAGATACTTCCCTGCATCTTTAGGCACCCCAATACTTTGTAAATCTGTCCCTTTAATAAATTAACTCAGTCACATTTAAAATATGATGATAGAGAGATTAAGAGACAACCTTAAGCACTTCCTATGCAGGTAATATGTGGAGCTCTGTTTATCTTCTATCTCAGCTTTGATTTTGACATCACCTTAATTTTCATACCAGTGTAACTCCCCTGGCTTTGGTGGAATTATTGCAGATTTAAAATAGTACTTTTGTTTATAGTATATATAAACAAGAGATCAGAATTGGGTTTTTTGTTTAGTCGCATGAAAAAGTTGAATGAGTGTAAAATGCTTCCA